CACCCGGCCACCCGGCCACCGACGACACACCCGACCACTGGCCACGGCCACCCGGCCATCCGGCCAGCCGGCCATCCGGCCATCCGGCCAGCCGGCTATCCCAACCACCCAGCCGGCCACGGCCACGGCCACGGCCACGGCCACGGCCACGACCACGGCCACGGCCACGCACGGAAAAAAGCAATCCTCCCATCAGGAGGGTATGATTAATTTCCCTCCTTTGGGTTAATTGTTATCATAATCCCCAACCAAATACAGTATCATCCCCAACAAAGTATAATTACAACCAAGTATATATTATATAATCCCCAACCAATTATATCCCCAACCAAGTATAATTACGTATATAAACCGTATATAATATATGTCCCAAGAAATTAGCCAATCAACCAGGGCATTCGTTCATGGCTCAGGTGTCCTTTCGACTCCTGAGCTCCCTCGCGCTGCCAAAGTCTGCCGGTAGGCTGCCATGCCACCCGGCACGGTCTCAGGTAAGGAGAGCTCCTGGAACGGAAAAGCCACCTTTGGTGGGGACAGTCCCTGGGAATTTCTGTTTTTTTTTGGAACCCCCAATGAGGGGAGGACTGTCCCTGGTTTGTGGTTTGAGCCACAGTTTTTAAAGAAATCAATGCTGGTTGGTGGTTGAGCCCTACCCCTCTGAAAAATCATGGAGTGAAAGTCAGTTGGGATGATGACAGTCCCAATATTTAGAAGAATAAAATTCATGTTCCGTACCACCAGGAAATGTTGGGTGGTTTACATTTGTTTTTTTCAACGGGATCTGCCTCTCAAGCTCTATGCGCTCTGGTCAGAATGTTGGTTGGTGGAAAACAACACAAACTACAGCTACATCTACCAGAATATTTGAAAAACAATAGTAAACCATACCCAATTCAACCACAAATGGCTGGTATCAACCATCAAACCCCAGAAACGTGACGCTCGTTATCTTTGTAAACAATAGTTATTGGAGTTATTTGCAGCAACTGATCATGACTTATCCATTGAAGGTTGCATATGCGATATGCTGATCCATTTTAGCTAATCATAACGAATCCATTCATGCGGTAAAACCAATAATTCAATGGGAACTTCAGGATCCTAAAATAAGGGAGGTACCTACCATATATAAGGCTTATTTTTCAGGCCTATGTAAGTGAATATCACCACAATTCATATGGCCAACAATATGGTACTAAAGTACCTCCATTTTAGGATCCTGAAATTCCCATTGAATAATACACATGAATAAACCATCCCATTAACCGATTAACCAACCATTTTGACACCAGCGCTGGGGGTTTCCCCGAAGTCATGGGAGATCCCCAGTCGTCACCATAGGTTGTTTCAATACGAATTCATGGTTTCAATACGGTCATAACGACTGGATGATTTCGGGGTACCCCCATGACTTAGGAAACCTCCATGACTGGGGGTTATAAAATATCATCCCAAATAGGGGTATATCCAGTTTCAAAAACCTCTATTGATTATTATTCCCAATATATGGAAAAATAAAAACTTGTTCCAACCACCAGCCAGCCAATGGGTTTGACTGACCATTATAAGCCACTGAAATTTTGATGGCCATTGCCCCTGAACTTATTTTGCAGCTCATAAAGGTCAAAATGGACTTTTCAAAAATTTCGAACTGGAACCACATGTGCAACCAGAGTTCTATATTCCAATTGTCATGGAGATTTACCTGGTAAATTAACAGTACCCTGATGTACCCTGATTTTCTCACCCATTTTTAGTGGTTTCACTAATCTTCCAAATCCTGGCAGGATCGAACCGTGTATTTTTACTGGCTATCAAAACATGGTCCTTCCAACCCGCAGACAACGGCCTTTTCATCGTTTTTCATCCCATGTGGCAGCCATGATCGCTCTTGGCATGTTTTGGCCGTAGCTGACAATTTCAAGTATTTCAAAAGACCCAAATTCCCAGATGCTCCATGTATGGGCTATTTTTGGGGTAAATGTAGGTAAATATTCCATACATGGAGCATCTGGGATTGTTGATTCATCCAACTCACAAAACATATGGAAAATATATGTTTTGATCAAATCATCAGGAAATGCGAACCATCAAATCAATATGTTTTTTCCCCACCTGCCAGGTGAGGGTTGCTAGATTTTAACAGAGCTCTTCTCCTCCTCCTCCTCCTCCGCCTCCTCACCCGCCTCGCAGTCCAGATCCCAGTGGGCACAGCCGGACCTCCACCGCGAGCTCCAGATCCCAGTGGGCACTGCCGGACCTCAACCGCGAGTTGCAGATCGCAGTGGGCACTGCCGGGCCTCAACCGCGACTTCCAGGTCGCAGTGGGCACTGCCGGACCTCAACCGCGAGCTCCAATCCCAGTGGGCACTGCCGGACCTCAACCGCGAGCTCCAGATCCCAGTGGGCACTGCCGGACCTCAACGGCCAGATAGAATGCCAGAAGATATGCCAGATGGAATGTCAGATAGAATGCCAGAAGATATGTCAGATAGAATGCCAGAAGATATGCCAGATAGAATGCCAGAAGATATGTCAGATAGAATGCCAGAAGATATGCCAGAAGATTTGCCAGATAGAATGCCAGGAGATATGCCAGAAGATATGCCAGAACATATGCCAGAAGATATGCCAGATAGAATGCCAGAAGATATGTCAGATAGAATGCCAGAAGATTTGCCAGTAAGAAAATGTATAAATGTCATGGTGGGGATCACACGAAGTAAATTAATTTTGTTTTTTTTTTCCATAGGCTATCCCGGTGAGATACCCAAAATTGATGCTGGAGCTCGCGTCATTTTCCTCAGCAAAAGCGTGTTTTTTTTTCCCTCGACTCCTCAGCGAGCACCTCTTGAGCTTTCTCCAGGGTCTCCTGTAGGTTTTTAGAGGTGAACATGTGATAAAAAATGGTGATTCCACCTGGAAAAATGGTGATTCCACCTGGAAAAATGGTGATTTCACCTGGAACAGTTTCGGATGTAACTTAAAGATACGAAGGAAAGGAGGATCTGGTGAATGTCTCATACAATGAAGTACATCTATGGAGATCATGAAAATATGGTCAACAAAAATAGCAACAATATATTTATATGCAACAATCATGTCCTCAGAGATGAAATGCTGGGAATCCAAATTTCAGCGGAGGCATTTGCAACAGAAAAATCCTCCTCTGTAGGGGCCAATGATTTTGTCTGGAGGACCACATATCCTGTTGTTCGAAATAAACAACATTAGTAGGTCATAAATATGTATGACATGGTATGACTCAAGATGATCAACCCCCAAACGAAAAAAAATCATCAAAGTCAAGCTGGTTGGTGGTTGACCTACCCCTCTGAAAAATATGAGCTCGTCAATTGGAAGGATGACATCCCATATATGAAATGGAAAATAATCCAGCCATGTTCCAGTCACCACCAACCAGCAAGAAATGTGGGTCCATCGGACAATTGGTAGACAAAGTCTCCCGCGGAGCCGGTAGAAACTGAGCATCGTTGGACCTTGTTCCACGGCGCTCCCGTCAAGGTAGCCTCGGCGCTGGTTTCCCCGAAGTCATGGGAGATCCCCAGTCGTCACCATAGTTGTTTCAATACGAATTCATGGTTTCAATACGGTCAGAACTGGTGGTTGACCTACCCCTCTGAAAAATATGAAAGTCAGTTGGGATGATGACATTCCCAACTGAATGGAAAAAAAAAGTTCATGTTCCAAACCACCAATTAGATAACGACTGGATGATTTCGGGGTACCCCCATGACTTAGGAAACCTCCAATTGGATGAGAACCATGGTTTGCTCAGGAAGTGGAGGATTTTCCCCAGGGCTGAGAAGCTTTCAGAGAGCTTTTCCCAGAATACAACAAACATTCGATGACACTATATATAGTCACTATAGTTCTCCAAAACGAACAGAGAGAAATTTCATGTAAATTCCCTACTCAAACTATAGTCGGCATCTGGAGCTGACCTTTTTAAACATCGGCCTCCAATTTCGTGGCGCGCAGTGTGGTGGGGGCCATCCCACCGAAGGCCGCACTGGCCTGCGAGGGCCGTGAAAAGACTCACCTGGAAACACCGAGAGATTTCCATAGGAAAATTCATCAAATGTGGTTGGTATATGTCCCATAATGCGAACCATGGTGCTGGTATATTTACCTACAAAACTGGGTGATTTTGTTCGGGTAAATGTTGGTAAATATTCCAGCACCATGGAGCATAATATGGGTGTTGGAAATAAGTGGATGAACTAAACCCCAAACATACAGGTATATACAGGTCGTTACTCGACCATGAAATGGGATCTTCATCCAAGAAATCAAGTGCTCAGAAATCCTGCCAGATTTTTGCCACGAAGAACGTACCTTTGACGCTTGATGTGGCCGTCTTGGACGTCCACAGCATGACATGTACTTAATGATGGACCTCTACCAGTGACTCAACAGACTTCTAACATGTTCCGAACACATTGAATTTGTAGATGCCTGTAACATGTGGGTCGTAGGTTCACTTAAAAGGGCCGTTCAAAACTGGTTGCGGCAATCGAAGTCGAGGATGTTTTAAGTAGGTTTGGGGATGCTGAACAGTCACCAGCAATATCGGAACTTTGCAGTCTGGTCACCGGCAAGGAAAATATCGCACAAACAGCGCGAACTAAGCAACCATCAGCAAACTATATAAACTATGCACAATTGGAAGGCAGTTTCCAAATCCACCCAACTATGGCTGGAAAGTTCTCCGGCAACACTTTGACCACTTTTGACGTATGCAAATCCTCTAGAAACTGCCTGGATCATACAGTACCCTCCGGCCAAACATGGCTCTCTGGTGGAGTTCTGCCCGGTTTGAGTAGAGGGTACCCCATCAGAACTTATTCAGTATTCTTCAACTCAAGTAGGAACCTCAGCAATCCCTCCCGTTCATATTAAACACGTCCCGTTCGAAACCATGGTGGAATATGGATGGATATGGTGGACGTAGGGATAAAAACACACTTCAGCTTGATGCCGGTCACAGCTACTGGATCTACTGGTCACATAGGCTTAGATTGTCCACTGTGGCTCAATCCCATCCCCCACACACTAAACAGACCACCAGAAGCCATGGTTAAGTAGGGTATTCACACATATATGGAACCTTTTGGGGGGGTTGCGACAAAAAATATTAAGGGGATGCGATGAATTACCCGGCCAAAACAACGTACCCACTGGTAAACTAACATAACTATGGAAAATCACCATTTTTAATGAGAAAATCAACTGTAAATGGCCATGTTCAATAGCAAACCGTTAGTCATTACCAGAGGGTACTTTAACCATTCACCCTGCAGGCCCTGCGCCACGAGATCGGCATAAGGCACTCCGGGTAGAGTTGCTCCTCTTGGAAAAGAACAAAGTCCTTGCGTCCTTTGCTCGCGTGCGCCACCAGCGCGTCTTTTCCCACCTCTGGCGGCCACGCCACTGGCCGTCTGCTAGTGGCAACCAAATGGATCCCGAGATTTGGACAGCGAAAATCATGTACAGTGATGGCCCGAAATACCAGTCTGGTTGGTGGTTGACCTACCCCTCTGAAAAATATGAAAGTCAGTTGGGGTTACTATTCCCAATATATGGAAACATAAAAAATGTTCCAAACCACCAACCAGCAGTGATGACTTATAACTCCGTGATAAGCTCATTTATGGAATGGTAACGCAATTTCAACATCACCATAAAAATAACTGGTAAATGGCTTTAACTGTACAGTATTGTATTTTTTGGGCACTTTAGGAGTCGCGGAAAAAATCGGGCAAATCATGTCGCTTTGCAGCGATGATTGGATGTGCTTATGGGTAGAGCCAACCGTGCAATTTTTTTGTTGGCCATAGGGAAACTAATCCCAGCCAAAGGTTGAGGCTGTATTTTCACCTATCATCCAGTTGTATGAAAATAACGATTGTTCAAACTTTCAAACTAAACCCTGTAAATCCTATAGAATCCTATAGAAATCCTATAAATCCTAGAAATCTACAGATTCTTCAAAGCAACTTTCCATTTTCCAGATCGTCCCCAGCCTGCTTTCCTCACCAACGGTGCTACGATCCGATCAGTCGAATCAAGGCACGCCAAGAGTCAACATCTAACATACAGTGTACGGTATCTATAATATATATATATATATATATTATTGTTATATATATAATATACAGTATATATATAATAGATATATGACAATAATTAGATATGATTCTTGGTATATCATAAAATATATGACCATAGAAATACAATAGATATGATCTCACTTTGGCAAGCATTTGAATCTAAGCGACAGATCTGGCAGATTGGACGGCGGCCAAGTCGGGAGCTGAGTCCGTGTAGTGCCTTAAAAGTGGGCGATTAAAAAGAACACGTCTGAACACATCTGAAAACTCATCAAAATCCAATATTCAAAAGAAATACCAGTTGTCGTGCTTGTCTTTTTTTGGTTGGCAAAGGGCAAAAACATAGAAAAACTGCATATCAAGGTCTTCTTTTGGTCAATTTGACAGACACCAAAGGTCGCCAACAAAACACAAAGGTTTCATTTTGTCATTCTGCAGCCATTGAAGGTCTCGCTTCGTGCTGACATGCATGTTGCACCTCATCAGCCAGTTGTTGTCGGCTGATAGTCTGGTAAAAAATGGTCAACATACGTGGTAGCGGAGCACGCCAACAAAACACCAAGTTGCACGTCTCCAAGGGTTACGCGGCAGAGCAGGACTGCGGAGCCTGGGATTAGGCTCAAGTACAGCCCCGTTGTGCAAGAATTCACCCCTGGTTATGTTCGGAGGGGCCCCCCGTTCGATAGCTAAGTTGGCGAACATAGCTCCAATAACTATGCTGGTTGGTGGTTTCAACCCCTCTGAAGAAAAAAAGTCAGTTGGGGTGATTATTCCCAATATATGGAAAAATACAAAATGTTCCACAACACCAACCAGCTATGGTTTATGACAGAGATATCTATATTGAATAGGTGTATAAACCAACGAGCAAAACCAGGGGCGTGCCACCCTGAGTCACAAAGGAAGGATATAATCCAACTATATAGTCCCAAAAATCATTAAATTTGGGTAAATTAATAATTCACTAACCTGAATCTTGCGGCCATAAAAGGGGATGATTTCCCGAATCCAATTCCCATGAATCCAGGGTTCGGGAGAACAGGGTTCGGTCGTGATCAAATTTACCCAGATTAAACGTTCTGTAGCTGGAATTGGTTGCATGGAATCAATCCGCCTCTTGCAAAAACACAAAAAACTGCTTGGTGGTTTTTCGCCCTAGCCCTCTGAAAAATCATGGACTCCGTTACTTGGGATAAAATGACATTCCCAACTGAATGGAAAGTCATAAAATTCAGGTTCCCTACCACCTAAACCAGTTATAGATCATTAAACAGTATCCATCAACAAACCATTACCAACCATTACTAACCACTATTAACCACCACTAAACAGTTATATTCATGTTGATTCATGAAAATGCTTTAAAATAACTGCACCGACATGGATCAAGTCATAAATTCTTCATGTCCTGAGTCCGATGTTCCGATGTTGGTGGACCCCAGGTCGTGGACGTTTCACCCAGCGGAGCGGCATGGCATGGCCAGGGCACCCACAAGCGAAGTCAAAGTTTCAGTGAGGTGAATCCTCGCTGAAGGATCCAGTTGCAGGTGAATATCATTCGGAATTCACATATTCTGAATATGTATCATATATATATATAGTATCTATATATAACATAAAGTGACTATATGTTAGTATACTTATACACATATACACATATACACATATATACACATTGCATAATGTATATATATATATATACAATTTATTATGCGTATATCTATATAGCATCCAAATGATACCAGCACCATACCAAGACTGTGATGACTTGGTCAATGGAGGGGTTTCCTGTAAGTTGTCCCTTCAGCCAATGGGGAGAGACAAAATCATAAAATCGGAATCAGCTTTCAGGTCCAACTTCAACCTCTCTTAAGCCTTTGATTTTGGTTGAACGAGTATAGTAAGAAGCAGCCATCTGTGGTCTGTCCTAACCTTGGGTACCCCTGTCATGACAAAACTTGAGCGATTTTCGGATTGGACAAGCCCTCCCTGCAAGTGGAAATAAATGTGGCATGGCCATCCAGCCCATCATAGCTGTACAATGGGTATATAAGTGCCGGTCAAAAGATTGATGACCATGACTCAATGATTAATATAGGGTATATGAGCCAACCTCTTTTTTACCATGGCTCATAGCACTTCCTTGGTTTATACGACCTATACAGTCCAGGTTGGATTCTCTGGTTGAAAGGAACTTCTCGTCAAATACCATCTGGTTATGACTAACAGTTCGCCATGGAAGCCATGACCCATAGAAATAGATGGTTTACCTATTACCATCTGGTTATTTAACATAGCCATGGAAAATCACCATTTTTAATAGGTAAACCACCAAAAATGGGCCATTTTCCATGGCTATGTTAAATAACCAGAGGGTAATAGCATGGTGGATCTTTCCATGGCAAACTGTTAGTCATAACCAGATGCTAATCTGGCAAGGGATCATGGCTGCCACCACTTTCCCGGTGATGCCGGTGACCGGTCACGAAGGTTCCACGGGTTCCATGATGGTCACCTACCCCAGCTGTAGACAAAAAGTCACACCTCGTCATAGTGCCAAGCTCCAAAATTTCATGGGGTCAAACATTGCCAAAGCATCTTTAAAGTTGCAGGTCAGTTATTACTTATAACCCCATTTATGGAATGATAACCCAGTTATAACCATAAAAATCAAACGTAACACTAGAGTTTTCACTCTATGGCTGGATCCATGTCAAGAAGCCCAGCACGCCGTTGCCGGGGCGAACTTTGGAAGCCTAGCTGAAGCAGGCAAATCGCACACCACATTTAGATCGACAAGGGCTGCTGGGCAAGACTCAGCCAAATAAACTTTGGGGAGCATCATACCATATGTATTCATATGATATATTAATCTGTGGTTGGGTCCTGCATGTCTTAGTGGAATCCAAACATAATGTGTATGCAAATCACTCTGAATGGATTGATGGCCATCTCTCAATATGAGCAGTTCACCCAAATTTTGACGGTTGCACATATCATATCATATCATATCATATTTGTATTTAGGTAAATAATGGTAAATGGCAAACCAATGACCACAAAAATAGATAGTTTACAGCAACTGAAAATCATGGAGAAGGCTCAATTTACCACCGTTCTTGAATCAGACTTTACTTGTCTGCATTTTTTCGGAGTTGCTCGTCAAACTGACCATGACCAACAATTGGGGAGTTCACATCCAAATCCACTGCACAATAAGACAAACTTTGGGACCACACAATGAAAAAGTTTCATGATGAACATCAAAAAACATGCGGGATCATAGCATGCCATATATAATAGTTGCGTTGTTTCCCTTCAAATATCATGTAACTATGCTCTAAGATGCCAAACAAAAAAACATGAAAGCCACACATGACACTTTTGAACATACTCATTAGAAATCACCACGTCTACGTCACCAACCAACAATCTGCCCTAGGGAAACATGATTTTCCACCAACTCTCGCCATGGCAACTTGTACTCAAACACTTAAATTACCAGAGGTTACTATAAATATCTAGAAATAGCATAGTTGCTTAGTTCTATCATATTATCATAACCCATGAAATCCTGTAAAATCCTACTAAATCCTATGAAATCCTATGGTGAACTGCGTCAAATTCACCAATGATTCCACTGCCCGACTCCGATTGGGATCCCTTGCTGCCCTCACTGGCGGAAGTAGCTTCCTGACGGCGGACACCGCCGTTTCCATGTCGTGATGTTTTGTGCTTTGAATGGTTGGAATATGTTGGAATATATTGGAAAGTGGAGGTATAAACCAAAAAAAATCGGATTTACTAACCAAAAATCTAATTCAGTATCTGATAATTGGGTTTTTGACGCAACTATAGGCGTTTTCCATATGGAAAATGATGATTAACCACTGCATCAATGGGGCACCCTATTTATCGACAAACCCTTATGACTAAATTGTGGGGACGGGAATTCCAATGACTTTGAGGACTTTAAGATTTTTCAGCGTTTTAACGGTTGTTGTTTTTGTTTTAATATATGGATATACTTATATATATATATATGTATGTATGTATGTATATGCGGAAACAATAACACAGTAATTGTAGTTATTGTTTGTTTTTGTTTGACATTGGGTTTAAAACATAAAAATTGTTGTCCGCAACCTTAACGTTCGCCCAGACTCATGATTGTGACTTAACAGAACAATATGTTGATTGGGGAAATAACATCAACTTTATCTTCATGAGGGATCAAAATTCGCCACCCCCTCTGAACAATACGTTGATTGGGTTAAAAGCATCAACTTTATCTTCATGAGGGATTAAAATTCGCCACCCCCTATGACAAAGTTGACTGGGGTAATAACATCAACTTTATCTTCATGAGGGATCAAAATTCGCCACCCCCTATGACCAATGTTGACTGGGGTAATAACATCAACTTTATCTTCATGAGGGATCAAAATTCGCCACCTCTTAAGAACAATATGTTGATTGGGGAAATAACATCAACTTTATCTTCATGAGGGGTCAAAATTCGCCACCCCCTATGACCAATATGTTGAATGGGGTAATAACATCAACTTTATCTTCATGAGGGATCAAAATTCGCCACCCCCTATGACCAATGTTGACTGGGGTAATAACATCAACTTTATCTTCATGAGGGATCAAAATTCGCCACCCCCTATGACCAATATGTTGAATGGGGTAATAACATCAACTTTATCTTCATGAGGGATCAAAATTCGCCACCCCCTATGACCAATGTTGACTGGGATAATAACATCAACTTTATCTTCATGAGGGATCAAAATTCGCCACCCCCTATGACCAATATGTTGATTGGGGAAATAACATCAACTTTATCTTCATGAGGGATCAAAATTCGCCACCCCCTATGACCAATATGTTGAATGGGTTAAAAACATTAACTTTATCATCTTTATCTTCATGAGGGATCAAAATCAGGAAGGCGGGACGTCAACTCCGGGCAAACGTCCAGGTTGCAGCGAACTTGTTTAATTGCATTCATTTGGATTCGTTCATCCTAGCTATATGGTAGCTGGGGAATGATAATGCTGTCAAGTTCCAACGATATATCCCCAGGACGGTCCGGAGTTGACAGGGTCACTGTCTTTGAGTTTCAAAACAAAAACCCTCAACCCTAAACCAAAAGCGAAAATGCCAAGAACCCTCGAGCCTTAAACCCCAAATTCAAACTCTATCTGTATAAATATAAATATAATATATATATATGAAATGTTCGCAAGCAGTGTTTCCGCAGTTTCCGAGAACCTCTCATTCTTGCACTAATCAGGTTGGTGGTTTCAATCTATCCCAAAGATATGAATCAACCACCATCATCAGTAATAATGGAAAGTCACATGTTTCGACCACAAACAAATTGTTAAGATGTGTTAAATATGTTTATGATTTATGTCCCCATTGTTTGGTGGTTGAACTTCCATGTTTGCCTTTTACATCTCCGATAAAAATCATGTTTACTGGGGAAATGGAAATCACAATTACTTTGAGGTAAATCCTCCCTTTGGCATAAAATTCCCAATTTCATCGGATTGGTTTCAAAGGAAAATGGTTTCAAAGGAAAACCTACAGGAACTCCTGTTAATTGCTCGTAAACAAAAACGCATGGGTTTCCTGCAGACTCTCCTCGAAATCGCAACATTCGTGCAGCCAGATTCCACAAGACCATAGTACCACGCACACACGACCAACCGCACACTGCAGAACACCACGGAGGAACCAAAAAAACGTCAAACCGACCGCAGCCACTTTACACGAAAAAACGATGTTTCGTGCTCCAGCATCCTCTCAACACAAGGCCCATGCAACATTGACGCAGGCATTACCATGCGATCTGCACCACTTCTCTACGTCGCCACTACCCTATAAGGCATCACTTCCTAAAGTCACGGCTTCCCGAAGCCACCGCTTCCCTAAGTCTCCACTTCCCCAAATCACTTCCCCAAGTCATCACTTCCCTAGGTCTGCACGTCCCCACGTCATCACTTCCCCAAGTCACCACTTCTCTAGGTCACCACTTCCCAAAGTCACCACTTTCCAAAGTCACCACTTCTCTAAAAGTCTCCAAGTCATCACTTCCCCAAGTCATCACTTCCTTAGGTCACGGATTCCCAAAGTCTTCACTTCCCCAAGTCACCATGCGTGGTATGGTCACATTTAAGGCTCCAGGCAGCTCATAGAGACTGGGGATGACTGGGATGACTCAAATCGGCCCATGATAACTTAAGTTAGGTGGGGGACGGTCTAGAGTGGCAGGTGTCGCAGTCGGTCTGCTCCATCCGCCAAGGTCGATACGGGCCAATGCCGGACTCAGACGCCTCGACCCCGGACAATGACCTTGGTGTCTCATGATCGTATGCTAAACGCTTTAACTTTTCGCTGGGGTAGGTAAATCTCAAAGCCGTCTAAGAGCAGCACCTATAGATGCACGTCATGCAAAGAGCGTCAGCTTTGTTCAGCTAGTTCTGGACATCTTAGTTCGCCGTCTTAGCTCTGGCCACACAGTAGTTAGATTCAAATGACACCAGCTGTTACACTGTTGGGGCAGAATGCGCGAGGTACTGAGTGTAATTCACACTTGGTGCCCAAGGAGCACGTGCACATCGCTGGAGGCTCTAGCCATGTTAAATGCAAGTGGCTGCCAAGACGGGAGAAACTTGCACACCTGATCTTGTCCTTGCACTTACGCAAATGATGTTTTATGATGTTTAATGGCTGTCTTGCCCAAGAAACCAGGCCTTCAAGAGCTTGGTGGAGGCTGATGCACGTCTCCAACAGCGTTTGCTGCTGCTGCTGCTGCTGCCGCCATTGTTGCTTTCTACCACCATATGCCACCATCATATGTTCGATTCAGGTCGCCATACCCAGAAGTAAGGTTGTGAGATACCCATGGTTGCTGCTTACGTGGTATAATACCCGCTGCTATATCATCCAAATATAGAACTGCTCATTTTACATAATATCTGGATCGCTCAGTTAAGAATATATTTGAAGCACAGTATCCAACACTATGGCCACGCCAGCCCATCCCCCGCGCAATAAACCACATCAAAATTGTGACTCTTCAGTATGAAGAGATCCGCTATTCAATTGTGATCGGAGAAAAGGGCTTGCACCAAATTGCACAAAGCACAACTAAGTGAGGAATCCACCTCCCTCGAAACCCCAACCATTTGGCCATAGGATGGCATAAGAAGATCGAAAATGCAGACCCCTTCACAATTCACGTCAAATCGACCCAAACCCTAATCATCGCGCAAAACAGGTACCCTTCATCGCCGGCCGCAGCTACTTTACACGAAAAAACACAATGTTTCGCGCTCCGGCATCAACACTTCCATCAGTCACCACTTCCCTAAGTCATCACTTCCCTAAGTCACCACTTCCCAGGGTCACCACTTCCCAAAGTCACCGCTTCTCTAAGTCACCACTTCCGGAAGTCACCACTCCCCAAAGTCACCACTTCCCATAGTCACCACTTGTCTCTAGGTCACCACTTCCCAAAGTCACACAATAAAAGTCCTCCGTAACTCGGAAGATTGCTTCCCAACTTCCTTTGATGATCAGTAACCATGACCATGAGCGAGTTTTGCAAGTCAAAAAAACATCTGTTTCCACGGTTTATTCCCACACAACTTGCCGTTGGACTCCAAGGTTTCGCTTGTAGACTCCTCCCCTGCCTCCGGGTTGCCACAGGGGTACCACAGTAGTAACTCATTCGGCCATGGATCGAGAGAAGGTGCCTGGCAAAATCCAGCAACGATGGATTTCACCAACAAAAACATGGATCTCGGCAGCAAAAACCATGGATTTAAGCAGCAGAAATGGGGCATTCTACGAGGAAAAGTGGATGAAAGTGGTGCATTTTTGAGTTGGAATTGCTGGACGTTACCATTCGACAGAAACCCTATTTAATCGGAGGGAATGGGGATGGCATGGAATGGCCATGGGAAGAGAATTGTAGGTTGCTAATCATGGTGAGCTTTGCTATGGTACTGACTACGAATTTCGGAAGAAGTCAATCTATTATAATCTATTTATATCATCCATTCAGCTAACAGCTACGAGTACTTAGGAGCTGAGCTGTATCTCCTTCAAACTGTACAGCAAACCAAATTCCCACACTCGTCTGCCGCTGGAATTCCATTGTTGATCAACCCATATTCTGGTTGGTGGCAACGGCATTCTTGGTGGATGACACCTCCATTTGTTCATTCATTATTCCCATGTTTGGCCTGATATTCCCATGTCCCGTGGGTGAAACACCCTTTTAGTTGACTGTAGTAGCTGCTGATACCTATACTCTCATTTCTTTTGTCCCCATGTCTTGGCGTATGTCCTTTTTTGGATGGTGTAACTCGCATTTTAATTGAGATTGCCTGCGCATTTACATGTATTTTGCTGATGATTCTCATAGTTAAGATTCAACTGGTTGATCCTGGTTGATCACTTTGGAAGGGTCAACCCTCGGAAGTGAGAAATGGTTACTTTAAACTGGAAGCCCCACTAAATCATACTGTATTAAATCATATTATCATTATATTTAATTATCATATATTATCATACTATATGTAATGTAGCAAACCCACATGTCAATATATTTCTGCGGCTTAAGTCCCTATTTTTGGGTGAATTGGCTACGGGGGAAGCCCGCCTAGATGCCCATCACCACCTGAGGTGGGAAGATCATGGATCGTCCCAAGTGATCCGATTTCTACATTAAAACCCCACTGCTAAACCATGGTTTAGCAGGGGATCTACAAATATCTGATGGGTGTTTTATATTCCATTTTTCTATTGGAGAAGGGATTCTTGACATGATTAGACCATTATGCTACATTATCATGTTCTGATGGTGAATTTCCCATTGCCGGGGTTCACAACCACAAGGGCCCCCGAATTTCCAGGGCTCTCCCTTCAACGGCCTCAATGGCTCCCTTGATCGCTACTGGTCTCTTGCTTCTACGGGCACCTGGGACCGTTGACAGAACCGCCTTCTCAGCCTGATGACATGCAATAAATGGGCTGATTTCACTGACTGATAATCTGATAGCTGGTAAAGGCTCATAACTGTACAAGGAGATATGTTGAGGGCTCGGTCGGGGTGAAAGCGCGCACTTTTTTGAACGTACCTCCCAGAGGCATGGCGCGGTTCTGTGCATTTTTATCCCACGTACGTCAGTGTTTCGGGTGGGGTGGGGTGGGGTGGGGCCCAATAGCGTCCCTTGGCATGCTTGGTAACAAAATATATATGTCACTACGCTTGCACATGCCTTGGATGCTACGCTAGCATACCTTGGCATGTTCCTGGAGAAACCAGGTTTGATGCCTCTGCTCACGGCTTTTGCAGAATACCGCAAAGACCAAAAAACACGGTAACAGCATCTGTAAGAGGCCGTGTCGGTGATGACATCGCACAGTGCCAGGACGATAAGGGAAGTGTCCGAAACTGCAGCAATTTATACATTTTTATATTTCTGGAAAAAAACATCTGGTGCAAATCCCTTGGAAGGGTCACTTCAAAAGTGGAAAATCTAGTGTTTTACAAGCACGAAACAGGAGTTTTGTTCGTCGAGGGTTTCGCCGAAGGTTCCTTTTTTCCTTTCAAGCACAAAGTTGTCTGAGGTTGTTCAGGACATTGCCTTTGACGCTCTTGCGCCAGACTGCAAGTACTTTCATTTTTTTTCTGAAGTCTTGTCTGCAATCTCAATGTGTATTCAACTGCCGGAGAATCGTGTTTTTAACCAATCCCATTGTCTGTCTAAAGTCTGTGTTCCGGCCAAAGAAGAACTCTTTTTCGTGGGCTTCCTCCGAAGCCCTTCACAAATTCACCGCGGTTGTGGCCAATTTTTTGTCATTTGAGGCGTTTTTCTGGCACTTGTTGTTTGGAGGCTCCTTTCAAGCTTTGCAACCATCAGCATAGCAAGCTGTTCTGGCTCGTAGCATGACGTATGTGTGGAAGTGCAAGAGAACGTGCAGCAGCGTAGCAAGACGTATGTGTGGAAGTGCAAGACTAAGAGAATGTGCAGCAGCGTAGCATGACGTATGTGCGGAAGTGCAAGAGAACGTACTGTGCGGTTACAGTCGCAATGAACGTTAACATCCCACCCCACCCCACCCCACCCCACCCCACCCACCCCACCACCCACCCAGCCCCACACCCAAAATATCCACACGCGCATGGCCTCTTACATGGTTTTGACACCAAAAACACAGATAGGACTTCAGCCAGCTGACATGTTCGACCTGGCCAGGGACAATGCCTGGCTGCCTTGAAGCAAAAGAAATATGTTCATGCTGACAATGGTGTGGAGATAGCCGAATTCAATCCAGGGTCGAAGCAAACCAGTGAGCATTTTGATCATGTGTATCATGTATGGTGATGCCTGTCGGCGCGCGTGAACGACCCGACCGACGGTTGTTGGTTCGTTCGGCTTATTGCCAAGACAACTATACAGTCAAATAATGTTCCAATATGGTAACATATGCATTAATATGCTATCATCATCATTACTATATATTCTACATACACCCTAGTTAACCAACTTATAAACCGACTTAGCTATCAAAGGGAGACCCAGCTTGTATCCCTTTCATGGGGACGTCATGGTAAAATGGGGATCAATCCTGAGCATCAATCCCCGACCAAATTCGGATGGCTTTTCACTTGTTTTTTTAATTCATGGGATGTTTACCACGTAGAAAAACTGGTGGATTTCTTAACCATCCACTTGGGCCAACCTGAATCTTGCGGCCATAAAAGGGGATGATTTCCCTCATTCACCATGATTCCAGGGTTCGGGAGAACAGTGAGGTCGTTATAATTTACCCATATATTATACATGTATATATATATATACATATATATGTATATATATATATATTAAATTGGATTATCAGGATCCTAAAATGGAGGTACTGTACCATACGTTTGGCCATATTTTGAGGGGATACCGTTGCAGGAAGCGGTTTTGTGACCAGCAAGCTGTTGTGGCGTCCCAGATGCGTCGGTAACCCAGGTAGCGTAGCCAGAGTTGGGAATCCTCGATCTGCCTGCGATTCCGCAGAATCAATTGACATGTTTATGGGGTGTCTGAAAATCCCATGATGGTGTTATGGTGATTTAATATGTGAGTGTTATTTTCAACTATATTGACATGTGTGTCTATCATTCCATTATGGTTTAATATAGCTTTAATATGATTTAAACTGGGTTTAAATTGTGGTTTTGTATTATTCATATTCCCCAATCATCTTTCATATGATCCTATCAATGGCCATGTAACAGGAACCGATTGATTGCAGGTACTGTACCATATATTTTTGGCCTATTTTTCAGGCCTATGTCAGGGAATATCTCCGCAGAATATGGCCTATTTTTTTGTAGCATAGCTCCACTTTAGGATCCTGAAATACCGATGGATGACATGTGAGTCTGTCTGAAAATGGACTATGAGTATATAGTACAATGTGAGGCCCCCCAGTTATAAGTTGGTTTCGATTCGCCCCAGTAACTAGTTCGTTATAAATACCATAAACTATAGTTATTGGACTTATAAACTGAACGCTATCGAACGGGGGCCTCACATTGTATGCATCAGTATACCAATGGCAATTTGAATAGGACATATTCTCATCAAATTTGGGGCCTGCCGATTTTGAGACAAAGCAAAAAGGCACCTTTGATGCGACCTCTTTTTGTACAGCTGATATCAGCTGATCATATGGGGACCGTCCATATATTCAGACGCTCCATGAATGGAATATGTACCTACATTTACCCCAAAAATCAACCACATGTAGGTAAATATGCCATACATGGAGCATCTTGGATATTCAGACTCATTTTTTTAATGCAACCCAACTAGCAAGGGAATACCATTGGATTTTTCTGAAAATTCTATGCCATGCTATGAACTTCCACAGCCTCAGGGCGGAATTTCTTTCCCCAGTTGGTCAATCTCCAAAGATGTTCATTGCTTAAGAGCCAGACTCATAGTTCATTGAGTTCGTTGAGTTCATTGGATTGGTTTTAATCAGAACTGGCACGCAGTATGAGTATTAGTGAGTACAACTGCTTCCTGTGCACCTGTCACACCTGTCATGAAAAAAATATCGGGAATTGGATGAGAGTTTTGCCAGACCCGCTGTGGCTAAATCCTGGATGTTTGGTCCGCCCCACCTTGCTGAAGAGATGAGATGCCTGGAGGCAGAGATGTTATGGGAAAGCTAAAGGTAGCCTTATGAAGATCATATGGAGGTTTCCTAAGTCATGCGGGTAGCCCCAAATCATCTAAACTTAGGCCACTGAAATGTGAAACCCATGGTGACTTGGGGATCCCTCATTTTCAGGAAACCACCATATGGTAAAGCAAACTAAGATACCATGGCTGATCCTATGTCTGGAGAATGTGGTACGCCTTATACCCTTTGATCTTCCTTTGGATCTCATATTGTTCTCCTCAAAATGCAACACATATACCACCCATCAATGGCCCATCAACCTGCAAAAACAACGGAATTATGTTTGATGATTTTTGCTCACCCATCCAACTGCAACAAAAAAACATATCAACACAATATACCCCAAATAGACACAAGTTATACGTTATAAAACACCTTGCCTATCTCAGGGTGCCCATCTTATATAAGAGTGATCTGCTGAGTGGTTTGTGACCATTCTACGGCAAAATGTTGGAGTTGGTTCATGAAACATTATCCCGGATAACTTTGAAAATCAGACATATGTGGAAGCGCGGAGATAGAATATGCCAACATATACCTGGAATTTGAATGAAACAGATAGAATAGAGAGACTTAAATCGGTAGATGGGTCAATATATATATAATTAGATTAAGTATGCCCTGTAGATTAATATATAAAAATAACATCATATCCCCATATATTGATTGTAAAAACAACGCCATATAGCTAGAGAAATGGGCCTGGTAAGGTGGGTTTCCAGTTTACGAAATCGCGAAGTTCAGCGGAACGTCCGGGTGATGAAATCATGGTGATTTCATGATGATTTCATGGGATTTAGATAAGTTGGTAAACATCACTAGGTGAATTCCATGGTTTAATATCATACTGGTTGGTGGTTTCAACCCCTCTGAAAAATATTAGTCACTCTTTCGCTCTTTCGCGCAACGTCGAAGCGACGGCTGCGTTGTGCAGCGGACGCAGCAACTGCCCCAAGCTCCTGGCGGAGCACCTGCATCGCAAGGAAAAACCAGCAAACGTTCATCCAGTCACCTGTCGCAAATCGGCAGTCTTGCATGCAATAGGCAAAAATTGCCTCAGCCAACCATCAATGGCTTCTGTTCTTTCCAAAGACGCTCGGACCGGTGCTGTCGTGGTCCAGAAGGCAATGTGACAACCTGCAGTGCTTGTATGGTCAGTGGGGATTTTGGTGTGACATGCTTTGGCAAGTTTGGTCAGAAACTGGGAAAACCACCTGGCCCTACGCAAGAAAGGTTCAGGTGGCTGGGACAATCCGCCCTTCCACTTTTTGGCATTAACATGATACCAAGGTCCAAAGTTCTTCACTCGAAAGGTAGCATCAACGAAAAGCTGCCACCAAGACCATCTTTGCACTGGCTGTGTCGGGTCGTGCAACTCTTTGATCCATGTAAGTATGTCTTGGCATTCAGGTATATTATATGGTGCCGCTTCCAAAGGTACAGTGTCAGGAAAATTCCAGTCTGACATGACCAGCTGTGTTTCTTGGGTTTTGGCCCCTTGAGTGGGCCTAACATATGTTTCTGGACTCTTCAAAAGGCAGTGAAGACCAATTTGCAACAACATCTTATGTAAACCCTCGCGTAAGTGTCGGATATGGTCGAGTTGCTCGCACAAGATCTTCCAGCTTCTCAAAAGTTGAGGCCATGACAACAAGGCGTGTGCGGCCACGCTGTCTGCTGCATCATGACCCAAAAAACACCATTTTTCCGCGACCGGTGTATTGGAGCTCACATTTTGGTGGCTAGCCACCTTGAACACACCTTGGCAAAGTTTACCGGCTTCACGCATGTGTTGCGCAAGTTTATTGATCAAGTCATGATTGCACGCTTTGACATTCCACTCATGGTCTGGATCAGCCAGCATCTGTTGAAGCAACTGAACTACCCGTTGGTTATCAACCCACAAGCAAAAGAAAACCCCTGACTTAACGGCTGCTCTAACTGCTGCTGCTGCTGCAAAAAGCTCTGCTCGAAGCACCGTCTGATGCCGTCCTCTAAGTGGGCCAGCGGCATACGCTTGAAAATCCCACATGTTGTTTGGGTCGGCAAAAACAACTCCCCAGCTGCAAATTCTGGCAAACTTGTCTTTGGGTCTGAGGCACGTACCATCGGTGAAAATGTGCAACGGTCCGCCAATTCCTTGTGGCAGTGCCTCTTCTGTGGAATCTTCCAGGGTTGGAAGGTTGTCCAGCTGGCGTCTGAATGTCTGCAGTTCAGATGGTTCGGGCATCCACCCTTGCAAATGTGTCGCTGGTGGCATCTGTGTCAGTTCTTCGATATCTTTTGGCTGTAAGTGTTCACGGCAGTGGTTGAGTGCGGTGCATTGCCAGTTCCGGTGATAGAGGCTGTCCGGTTGTCCGCACAGCTTGCAACTTGTGTCTTTCGGGTCATTTCGATGTCTAAGGTGGTTAGCAGTGTAGAAAGTTCCATTTAAGGCACTACGCAGTATGGCTCTGTCTCTGGGCTGTGCTGTCAAAGCTTCTGTCGTGAGCTTTGCGTTCGTAAGGTGCATACCTACGAAAGTTTTACGTTCGGAAAGTTCACAAGTCACTCTGTATTGCCAAGCCTCTGATACTCGGCTAGCGAGTTCTTGCACTGGAGTTTGCCAGAGGTCCACTGGTTGACCAAACGCATCACGAAAAAACCCGTCTGCATCCCAATTCCAGTAAACCTGGTGAAGCCTATGCAACACGACTGCACATGGTCCAACTTCAGGCCTGGATCTGCTGACATCTTCGGACAACCTGGTGAATTGCGGAGCGCACAAGTCAAAGTTCATGTACTGCCTACACTGCATTACCGTGGTGTGCAAGGCATGGTAACCCGGGTCAAAGGACGGGTGCTCAAGCAAACTGAGGTGTAACACCGGAGAGCAGCCTTTTTTGTGTTCATTGAGGGCTCTAAGCGCCCCTGTTCTGAGTTCATCAAACCATGCATCTCCTACATGTGCGGAGGCTATTCCATGAAGTGTACAAGGCCATGCAACTGCCCTGATGGCGAGGAGTTTCTGCAGATATGGCGCGGGTGAAATGGCCAAAGACTTCCATCTTTCTTTGAAACTGTCGATTTTGGCAGTGATTGTAAAGTTGGTGGCTTGTCTCGTGTATTGCACATGTGCACCTACATCTCTGGCAGCATTACGTATGTGATACCCATGAGAAATGAAGAGCTTTCTGAATTGGCCATTCGGGGACCAAAGGTATGTCTTGGTGTCATCTACTTTAAGCTCCATTAACTGCAAGATCTTCTTGAGTTGGGTTGTCCCTTGCAGTAGTTGGTGTGGGTCATGTGAAAGCAATTCAAGGTTATCTACATAGGTTAACATGCGAACCATGGGTGTTTTCCTCCTGAGCCACACATCGATCATTTGGTTGGCCCCCAACATGGCTACCACGCTCAGTGAGCACCCTTCTGCAAATCCAGTAGAGGACCGGATGGCATGGCTGACTGCCTCTTATTGCAAACCTACGTTCCATGAGTTGCAATGCTGAACTCCAAGCATGTACAATTGGTGAAGCAACTCCCATTCTGAGTAAGGCATGCATGATAGGCACACGTGGCAAGTAGTTGAAGCATTTTACAACGTCAAGAACTGCTCCGCAACTATTTCTTCCACTGGCAAAATCTTGTTCCATGGTCGATTGCAGCGCCATCCACAAGTTTGTGGTGCATCTGGAAGGCAAGTTACCAAAACATTCACCCGGCATTTGAGGCAGTAAGTGCCGAAGTATCTCTTTTGACCGGATTGAAGCCCAAGTCCTATAGATAAGGCTAAAAATTGTTATTGGTCTATAACTTGACACAGAGGCTGCACCTTCATGTTTCTCAAGAGAGTGGACTATGCCACAAAGCCACTGTCGGGGCCACTGCATTTCTTGTTTTTCCACTTTGGTGATGATATCTAGGATAGCTTGCGTGAGGTCATCAGGCAACATCATGAGGTCTTGCCTATTCCAGCCGTCAGGACCTTGTGCAGCATTTCGCTTTTTCTTGGAAATGGCTTTCTTCCATTGTTGGACTGAGATGGGAGCATACGTCTGAGCTGGACCCCTGGGCTGTGCAAGGTCAAAAAAGTCTTGCAAGGGTTGCCAGTGGGCTGCAGGTATATCTTTGTGTTGGTCCCACCGCATTTTCCATTCATCACTGAAACGCTGGAAAAGTTCCTCAAGTTGGCCTATGAAATGCTCTTCGCGGAGTGTTTGGCCTGGAGCAAAACCTTCAACACTTTCCAACCATATCATATCTTCGCACATGGCTATTGGTGAAACCGGGCCATGCGGTGTCATAATCTCACCTGGTCCAAACTGCTGGTGTTTGTCAAGTATGACTGCTTGTTGGTCATAGTCAACCTCAATGACTGCGACTTCGCATTCATCTTGCAGAACGCTAACAGGGGCTGCTTTGGGCTTGGCAAAATCTTTGAAAATCTTGTTGGGATTCATCACTCTGTTAGCCTTGCCCTTGGCCACAAGTTCCGCTTGAAGAACTTTTTCATTCCTTCTTACTTCGCGTTCTACAACCAGGCAAATTCCAGACAATTCTTCAGCGGTGGGCAAATCGCATGGGATCTCTGCTGGCGCATGCGCGAACTTTTCTGGTACGTTTCTCCACCAGGTAGGGAAGTGTCCAAATCCCTGTGCTTTCAGCACGGCTCGCCATTCCCTATGAGCATGGGTGAGTTGATTGCATGACCATGTATCTGCATTAAACAATCTTCTCAACGACTCAAGTCGGCGCAGTTGTGTAAACTGTCTTTGATGCTGAAAGTTTTGGCCTGTAAAAAGTGGTTGGACATCTCCATTTCTACTGGGCTTAAGGGGTTTAGAGTGCACCTGCAGCTTGACTGTGGCAAGAGTGGCACATCGACCTCTCTGATTCTTCTGTAGCCCCGGTTTGTCTTGGGCTAGGAGATGTTCATGAACTCTTTGTTCGAGGGTCTCGGCAATGCTTTGGCTGGCCTTTTCAGGGTTATCGATACTGTCCACCTGAAAGTTTGCACTGTGGAGTGGCACCTGGCATTCATCCCAAGGCAGGGGCTTGGGTACTCGCCATTGGTACATGTGCTGTTCGGTGCCGAACATTTCGAAGTGTGCACAAACTGCCGCATGGTCGCTAAACACATGGTCAATGACCTGTACACTTCGGAAAAATTGGGCAAGCTCTGGGGACAGGAAAAGGAAATCTTTAGTTGTGGTTTGCTTACAAGTAGCTTTAACAGGTTCACCTGTGCGCTTTTCATGAAGCTTTTGAACTTCCTGCCATCCCATTTTTGACCATACTTCAGTTTGTGTCAAAGTGCCTTCTAGTTGATTAAAATCACCCATTATGAATCTTGGTCCCTTGAGATTTTTCATGATTCTTTCGGTGGCCAACTCAAGCAAATTGTCAGTGGCTTGTCTGACGTCAAATGAATCGGCACGGTATGAGTGACCGTAAATGACTGCACCATGGATCCAAACACCATTGAAAAGAAAAGTATTCATTGCAAATCTGGCCGAGGCCCAATCCGCATCTGTACATTGTTTCTGAAGCCGTCTGCTTGGAAGGCTGGTGACAAAGCCTGTGCCTACATGAGTACCTGCAACTGCGGTAATGGCTGAAGAACGATATGGTGCTGGGGCCCCTGGATGGAAAGATAGACCCTTATTGTTGCAATGAAGCTCTTGTTTGAACTTCCGAATGCCAACGGTCGAAAGGTGTGTTTCGCAAATTCCCCAAATCACATTGGGCTCGGACGGAAGTTGAGAAAAACAGGCACTCTTGCGTGCCAGCCCGGTGGGATTAATTGCCCCAATGGTGAGGCCCGGATGCGCATCGGCAGGTCCAGGGTTCTGTGCTTCCCCAATCCTAATTATGATCACTGCTAGCATCAGAGCACGGATGGCCCTGTTAGTGATCTTGACATGCAAAGATCTGGCTCTGGGTTTAGGTCATTCGCCCGTTTTCGGCCTTTTATTGGTTAACAAGGCCTCTATTCTGGTCATTTGCTCCTCAAGTTTTTGATCGAGGAGGCTCTGCATTGTGTGCTGTTGTTGGTCGGCCTGTTGCTTCAGTGCCTGGACTTGGTGAGCAACCTGGCTGTTGTGCGTGGTCTGCTGATGCTTGAACTCAGAGAAAGATCCGGTGATTTGTTGGACATTGCTTGTCAACATAGAAACTTGTTGTTCAAGTTGTGCAACTCTGGAGTCACCACCTGTGTCCATGTCCATGTCAGGCTGTCTCTCTTGGGAAATCTTCTCTTGGACGGATGCCATGACTTTCTTATGTACATTGGCTTCAATGGCGGCAAGTTGACTGGCAGAAGGAGTTCGCTGCTTGGTCTGAGCTGCATATGCTGTGGACCATGGGTCATGCATGAGCCAAGGGTCCTTGGCTGCATCTTCTCCTCCTTGCTGCGTTTTGGCGGTGCTTGTCAGGTGTTTCAATGTTTTGAAGGATGCCACAGGTGCTCCTACCGGCTGCGCTTGGGATTGTCTTTGTACATTGTGCTCACTGATAAGGACATCCCCATGGACCATGGTGAAGACCCAAAACTCAGGGGCTTCCGTGGCAAGTGCGACCCAAACTAGTCCCTGCTTATCTGGTGTCAATCCTTGGGTGTGTGATGCTCTAGCATTCCATCCCCAGGTACCAAACACCTGCTGTAAGGACTTCTTCGTGGTGCCAAATGGCAATGGAGCAATGCGATACTGTTTGGTAGTGGATCCATCTAAGTATGCAATGTCCGGCCGGTGTTGCTGGTGAACTTGCTGTGCTTCTGCTTTGTTAACTCTGAGTCCAAAACGATCTCCGGATCTTGCGATTGCAGTTTCAACTGGTGTGGCTTGTTTGGCAACCACAGTGTCCGCAAAGCTCTTCTTGGGCAGCCATACTATGCGGTGAAGCCTGCATGGCTCTCTTCCTGACTCAGTTCTGGGTTCAAAGAACACCCCATCCACACTATTGTGAGTCATGACCTGTGATGCTTTGTCTGCCGAGAGTCTGAAAACAACAGAGAACATGTCAGCTTGGTCTGGCCTCACCCGTTGATATTGCTTATTGAGGAATTGTCTATCCCAAACATCTAGGATGTCGGATGGCTCAAGTTGGGAGAAATGATCCATAGTCAACATGGCTTTCACTGGCTTGGCAATTAAAGCCTCCCATGCGTTCGGGTACTGGTCTTTGTACAACACCGCTCTCACAACCTTGGTCTCAATCTGCTCGATTCCTGCAGGTTGCGCTGGCATGAGGCGTGTCACTGCTTGTGCTCCTAGTTGGACCAATGCTGCCGTCAGGATCATGGGTTCCTGTGTCTCAGGGCAGTTGGCTGGGAACTTGATCACTTGGTGTTGTGTCGGGAGTTCATCACTTTGAAAATCCAGGATAAGCATTCCAATCCCTTCTTTGCTCAATGGGGCATGTAAGTTCAGGTACGGCTTTGCATCTTGGATGTTGAGAACAACCACACCTCTCTGTTTGACCTGAATCTCATTGATGTTCACTTGTACCAAGGGAGTACCATCCTGTTGCTGGAAAATGCCTGGTGGGATCTGAACCTGTGCGGCTGCAGGAGTGACCCATTTCTCGGCTGATGGTTTCTTGTTGGCTTTGTTTTTCCGACTACCCATTGGTTTACCTGTCTGTAAGCGCTCTGCTACTTTGGCTTGGAGCTCCTCAGCAAGTACAAGTTGAATTGGCGGCTTGCTGGCGGTTGCTTTGGCTTTAAGATCGGCCCACGGCCTGGCAGATCCTACGGTTGCTTTGAGACTCGCATGTCCAAGGCTTTTGACGAGCTGCTGAACTACTGTCGGAATCCTTTGGCTGCTGACTCCATGTTCATTAAGCATATTGGCAATCTCTTGGACATGTGCTTCTGCTGTTGTTCCTCCCAGCAACAGTTTGGAGGTAATGCATTTGTCTGCTTCCTGATTGACGAGGTGCTGGGCAAAGAGCAATCTCCACTGTATGGCTTCTGATATCTGCATGGGGCAGGTTCGGACTTCTCCAGCTGCTTTGTTAAGGATCCATGCCAGTGCCTGAAAGCCACAATCTGCTGGGAAAGTTGAGCCAATGACGTGAGCATGACATGTAATAGGATGACCGAGGGCGGACTCAATCCATTCTGCAACCATGTCTTTTTCATCGACCGTGGTATGCAAACTGATGGTGTCGTCACGAAACATGGCGCTGACTGGGAACCAATGATTGTTCCGTAAGCATGCAGTGTGTATGCACAATGGTCCTCCGGATTGCACTGCTTTCTCTGATGCTGTCAAGACCCATTCGGCAAGGACTTCTTGGTCATCTGGCGTTCCTGCAAGGATCAGTGGGTCAGTTGTGTTTGCAAACTCTTGATTTTTGAGCATCTTCATGTAGTACGTCATCTCGTCGTTCGCAACCCAACCTTTTTGAGACCACAAAGCAATAATGCGTTCCAACCCTTGAATTTCAGGTGGCAAGACGTCACTGAATTGTGGGCATTTGCAGATACACTCCTTGTTGCCGTCTTCTAGCAAGATAATTTGTTCATGCTGGGGTACAACATAAACAGGAATGTGTGTACCAACAATCGACATGGCCTTGGTCGGCGGTGGCAAGTCATGCAACTTGGCTTCTGCAGTGACGATTTGCCCTACAGTGGCATGACCAGGAACCTTGATTCGATGGAGGTGTTCAAGCCTGTGCCCAACCAGGACGACCTTGTCGGCATCTAATGTGACCTGTGTGGCAGTGCAGCTTGCTGTGTCCTCAGGCGCCCCAGGCTGGAAAGGAAAGCCGGGAAAGTGACAAGCTGTCTTCTGTTGTCCAGATGGCACTTGCTTAGCACATGCATCTTCCTTGCTTTTCTTGAGTCGAGGTGGACTGTCTTTTGCATCTTCAGCGCTTTTGCGTTTGTTGGTCGAAAACCCAGTCACTCCCCCTTTGGTGGCATAAGGAAGGATGGCTTGCTCATAGGCTTGCTGTGCTTCATGCTGGATGAACAACTCCGAAGGTGGTGATATGTTGGCTTCAACATCAGCTTTGCTCACATGTTGTGGAAATGAAAACTGGTGTTTGGTGGTGTCATCAGTTAAGGGCTGCTTGTCAGTGTTGTTCTTTTGGGGAATGATCAGTTTCCCTTTCCAAGGATCATCGTGCTCCCAAGGATCAGGGGTTGTTGCATGTGCTTGAGCTGTGGCAGTATGTTTGTCATGGCTGTTCTTATGTTGCAACTGTTGTTGGTGAATGTTGAAAAAGGTCACAACAGCTCCATTGGGGTGATAAACAACATTGTTGGTAAGATCATCTTCATGCTGTCGCTCTTCATCCTTGTGTTTGTCTTGTGGGTGAGTCATGGTTGGTAAGCATGAGGAATTCCGCAAATAATCTGTACACGGCTGATCTGTACAATCGGCTGCATCTCTGTACACGGACTGGGACGAACCGGATGCCCAAGCGGCGGTGAACGGCAAAGCATTTGGTACGGATGCAACAAACTTGGCGGCTGTCTTGGGTGGAGTGGTACGGTCATACTCAACAACACTGTACAGTGAAAGGTCCGTTGACTCCACTTGGAAAGCAAAACCAGGCTGCTCATTCTTTGGAATTCGGTGGTTGGTGCAATGATGTTTCGTTTGATCCGTTTTTTCAAATTTGTGTGTACTGGTGTGTGTATCTGTGTAGGCATCGACGGCATGATTGGACAGGTCAGTCAGTTCCTTGTGCTTGCTCGACAAGGAATTCGGATGCATTGGGACCTGTGGAACACCATCTATGTACAACCGGCTGGTGTCGGAAGCTTCACATGTATTCAACTGAGTCTCAGGCAAATCTTGGTGTTGGAAAAAGGCAAGAGCTTGCTGGTGGACATCGGTCTTTTGGCATGTTCCAGGCTCATGCATTGTCATTTTGGTGACATGCAAATCTTGAGTGTCTGGTTTGCTACTGGCATTGCACTGAGTGGCAAAACAACTTGCATTGCCGTGGTCAGAAGCTTCAACATTCTCAGCACATGCATTGGCGATGGTCTTATCACCTGCTTCTGTCGGTTGCATTGGCGAAAACCCCTCTGTGTTATGTGCATGAGAAAACCAACTTTCCCTACTACCGCAAGTTTGCACTGGAGGAGTCTCAGGTTCGTCATGGGCATGTTGCAATGTGTGGACATGATCGACATGTGCACTCGTGTTCATCAACGGCATGAGTGGGTCATTTGGTGATTCATCAACTGGGGTGTCTAGTTTGTCCAACTCTCTTGCAAATGCTTCCATAAATCGGGTGGTGTGCACGGCAGGCCACACTTGATCTCTGGCACGGAGAAGCTCCTGGCACATGCGGGCAATGACATGTCTTGGTGGGGCAACTTCAAAGGGAAATCCGGCTTTGGCAATCTGGAACATCACATTGGAAAAAACCCATGCTCCCTGTAATGGCGATGCCATTTGACCAACACCAGTGAGCTCAAATTTCAATGAGAACTTTCCATCTGAGTCGACATATCTTGGATCCAAACCGTTGTATATTGCAACTTCTTTTGGGTGAAGGTGTCTCATCCCATGCCAGCAATTGTTGCCTGAGTCAATGTATGTTCCCAAAGGCACCAGGACACCATAGAGTCCTTTTTCCGAAAGTCTTTGTGAGCAAAAGGCTCCACTGCGGCACCCACATGGGCAGGCAGCCAACTGGGATCCCCAGGCATGAGTGGCAGTTGGCAAAGGCTTACTGGTGTTAATGATACTGGCAGCAATTCCGTTGGGCATGGTATGGAAGTGCCGAAGTTCATATCTGTCAAGGTCAAGTTGTTCCTGTTCTTTGGGACTCACATGTGGGAAAATCTGCATGAGGTGCATGACAGCAGGACAAAACTGGTGCTGCGGCATGGGTGGAATGCTAACTTCTCCAAGGCATGGATGTGTTAAACAAGCCCACCAACGGGTTCGGAAGGCTGGCCATGTCGAATGCAAGTGCAACACAGTCTGGGTCAACCTGTAGCCTGTTTGCTCACAGAAGTCTTGAAGCAGTTTTTGGATCCATGGTGAATCTTGAGCTTCCTTGGTACATTCTAATGTGAGCATCGGTGCTCTCAGGTGAAATGTCATCTTCAGCAAGGAAGGAAGTGTTTGACTACGTGGGTCCTTTTCTTCCCGACGGTCACCTGAGGCACTGAACGGCTGGCATGAGAAACCCCCAGAAATTGGCTGAGGAGCGGCATGAGTGAGCTCTGAAACCAATTTGATGATCTCGGGATTACCAACATCTCCATGAATGACCGGAGTGTTAACTCTCTGTTTCAGCCAGTTACAGTAGTTGACATTCTGCTCTACAAACACTGATGTCTTTGCTTTGCAAAACGGCATTGCAGTACTGACGGCACCAATACCTGCGCATGTTTCAATGACCTGGTCAAAATTGCAAGCGTCGATGGCAGTATGCTGCAGTACTTGTGTGTCCTGAGCAACTTTCAACCAAGGGTATCTGCTCCCTTGCATCACTTCTGCTCCCAACATCGAAAAAGATGGAAAACCCTCAGGGAGGAAGGCATCGGTAATAAACTTTTGCCCCAAAACCGCTGATCTGCAGATGTTGAACTCTGGACAGCGAATGAGGATCTCTGCAAGGATATCTACCTTTGTACCATCTGCCACCCCATGTAGATGGGTTTCCAATTTCAATCCAGGAGAAACCATGGCTAAACCAAATAGCGATGAGTCAATGGCTCCTTGGCCTGCATGGATCTACCCTCTGATAGGTGGAGCCGAGATCTAAAAATATTAGTCAGTTGGGATGATTATCCCATATATTATGGAAAAACATGTTTGAAACCACCAACCAGCATATAAACAAAGTATCTAGTTGATGGGGCTTAAAAAGCAACAAACTACCCACTGGGGGAACCCACCTTGTTGAAATGTGTCAAAACAAAAAAAGTCGTATCTATCCAAGTGTTCACATAAAAATCTATGAAAAACAGAATTCCAAGGAATTGTTGTTTCAGTAACATCGAAGTTTTCACAGCTGGTACCATCACGTATCCACCAGATTCCTCTGAGCTTGATTTGGACAAGCGTTGAAATGCGGAATTGTACTACGGGAGAATCCCTCCTGCCACTTAGAAATTAACCGACTCCATGTTTGCCCCCCAAAAAATAGATTTAATTGCTGGATAAATCAAAATCTTTTAGTGGCAAAACCCACATTTTGTTGCTTCAGTCCCTTTGATTCTTGCATCAATATCATTGTTAGAGTAAATCCAATGTTAGGTACAATGTGGGGCCCCCACACGATAGCTAAGTTGGTGCAAATAACATCAATAACTAGGCTTTATGATACTTGTAACTATAGTATTCATGGGGTTTATAAAGCAACAAACATCACTGGGGGGGCTCCATGTTAGGTATGTTAGGTAAGTCCACATATGTCAACATAACCCCCAGTGAGACCATACCCCTTGATCCCAAGATGTGTTTTTTGCCAAGTTACCTGGCCTGGTAAACGTTTACAAAAAACCATGGAAAATCACCATGTTTTAGCTGGGTAAATCAACGAACTTTCTATGACCATTTTCAATAGCTAACTGTTAGTTTACCAGAGGGTAAATCCCATTAAATCACCAGTAAATCCCACTAAATCACCATTAAATCACCATTAAACCACCATTAAACCACCATTAAATCACCAAATAGCTATGTCTGTTAGTTTACCAGAGGGTAGATCCACATCTTTTCATACATCCCAAGCGTCCTGGAGGATGAGGATGCCTCAACCAGGCTCTGCCTGGAAGTTTTCCAAAAGGCGATTTAAATGATCCATCGGCAAATCTCTGGAACTTGGTGGCGAACTACCCACGGCTCGTTTTTGTGGGTTAGTTCACCCCAGTTATTTCAGTGGATTAACCCGCTCCTTATCCCATGTAAATCACTGGGGTTATAACCGATGGAGAAGAAAAATAATATGTATGTCTAATGATTCTGGTTTGTTTTATGAAATTTATACTATATATCATAAACACCTAAGAAAGTTAGAATAATCTATTATGTATTAATATATAACCTTATGAATTTTGAATCATCTGGTTCATATATACTGATAATATATTCATATTTTATAGATAATTATGCTCAGGTAATCTAACATAGCTCTGGTAATAAATGTAATAATAGCTAATTCACCATCAATCTATGGGAATACATAGGAATTATTCCTATATGATAGGGATATGGATATTTTTTGGAACACTATCACTATCAGTATGCCCTCCAGACATGGAAAACAAAACAAGTTGCCTTTTGAAAATTTGGCCAATTCTTGACAGGTCTATTTTCATCATCTACCCTCTGGTTATGACTAATATAGCCATGGTATAGATGGCCCATAGAAATAGATGGTTTACCAAACTTAAACATGGTGGATCTTTCCATGGCTATGTTAAATAACCAAATGGTATCAATGGTACAATTTAAGAATCTTCCTAGTTATGCTTTTCTAATTACCACAGGGTGTTCCTGAACTTTCAACTTTAAACATCAATGGGAGAAACACATGAAAAACACATCACACATGTGTTTTAATGCTTGATGCGTGCTATTTTAACCAGCAAACTTTGAGATATGATCGACATGATCGGCAAAATTGGGTTGATTGATGGTTGGGGGTCGATGATACTTCCAAATTTGGTGGGAATGTAAGGATATAATCGGGATACAATGGGATATACAAACGATGTCAGATCAAACATTATCAGAAGCGTGAAGGGAAATCAGATTTGGCGATCGACATCTGCAATGGTGTTCAGTGGCCCCATTTTTTGGCGCCCAACTGCTCTATACATCCTATAAAAAACACCCGGTTTATCCCTACAATCTGGAGCCCTCAGTTATGTCTGTTGCTTTTTAAACCCCATGAATACTATAGTTACAAGTATCATAAGCCCTAGTTGTCAAAGTTATGTTCACCAACTTAGCTATCGTGTGGGGGCCCCACATTGTATAGATTTTCCATGCTAATTTCCCCCAAAGCTCCAGAACCACGCCATGGATCCATAGCGTGAAACGACATCGGACAGTCAGGATGAGGATTTTTGGTCTGGCAAAACAAGGTACCTAAAATCGCATGGATTGTTTCCCTCGCCAGTCAAATGGAACGAGTAGAAATTGGTTATATATGCATATATATATATATATACACATACATACATACATACATACATACATACATACATACATACATACATACATACATACATACATACATACATTAATTACATACATACATTAATTACATACATACATACATTAATTACATACATACATACATTAATTACATACATACATACATACATACATACATACATACATTAATTACATACATACATACATTAATTACATACATACATACATTAATTACATACATTAATTACATACATACATACATACATACATACATACATACATACATTACATACATTACATACATTACATACATACATACATTACATACATTACATACATTACATACATTACATACATTACATACATTACATACATTACATACATTACATACATTACATACATTACATACATTACATACATTACATACATTACATACATTACATACATACATACATTACATACATACATACATTACATACATTACATACATTACATACATTACATACATTACATACATTACATACATTACATACATTACATACATTACATACATTACATACATTACATACATACATTACATACATTACATACATTACATACATTACATACATTACATACATACATACATACATTACATACATTACATACATTACATACATTACATACATTACATACATTACATACATTACATACATTACATACATTACATACATTACATACATTACATACATATTACATACATTACATACATTACATACATTACATACATTACATACATTACATACATTACATACATTACATACATTACATACATTACATACATTACATACATTACATACATTACATACATTACATACATTACATACATTACATACATTACATACATT